ACACACACACACACACCACACACACACACACACACACACACACACACACACACACACACACAACAGTGTTATTTTCACACTACAGGGTTCAGGGGCAGTACAGGTAGTAAGGAAGCAGTAAACAACAACAACTTTAGATCAGATCATATTAGTCAACATTAACTTTTAGAGACCTTAAAGAAGGGTCCTCTGAAAGTCTCCTCGGACCACCCCCAGCCTATTTCATCCTGAATGTTGCTTTACTTTAGTGCCATGAGATAATTTTGAGTAAAAATCAGACAAATACAGCGAAAAATAAACTTCTGTCTTTTGAGATCTGACGCTCCCTGCTGGAAAAAGAATCAATTACAGCCTGAAATGTGAAAGAAAGAAAGAAAGCAATAACCCTGACACCTAGTGTTTAAAATAGGGACTGTAGTCCAAATTCATATGGTCATGTCTGGCAAACCGAGGGGTGTCCAAAATGGCCATGTGGGGGGTGTCTTAAAAGCGCCTACCTTCTCTGGTCCAAACAAATCCAGAGCATTCAGGAGCAGAATCTAAAGTTAGAAGGAGGACATACTGGCTGCTGCATTGTTGTCAGAGAAGCCAGCACTTCAACATAGCATGTTTCCTTAATGATCAGAGAGTAAGATACCTTTATCATCTCACTCTCTACACAGCTCACTGACTGGACCTTTAATGATCAGAGAGTAAGATACCTTTATCATCTCACTCTCTACACAGCTCACTGATTGGACCTTTAAGTTAAGCTCCTTCTGTAAAACTAAAGACACATGTTTCTGACACTGACCTGATGAAGAAGAGCACCAGCTCAGAACTTTAGGTTACTTAAAAATCTGAAGATGACTTCATATTAATCAATCAATCAATCAATCAATTTTTATTTGTATAGCGTCAACTCATAACAAGTGTTATCTCAAGACACTTTACAAAAAGCAGGTAAAAAGACCTTACTCATTGTTATGTTACGAAAAGCAGGTAGAAGACCTTACTCATTGTTATGTTACAAAAAGCAGGTAGAAGACCTTACTCATTGTTATGATACAAAAAGCAGGTAGAAGACCTTACTCATTGTTATGTTACGAAAAGCAGGTAGAAGACCTTACTCATTGTTATGTTACGAAAAGCAGGTAGAAGACCTTACTCATTGTTATGATACAAAAAGCAGGTAGAAGACCTTACTCATTGTTATGTTACATAAAGCAGGTAAAAGACCTTACTCATTGTTATGTTACGAAAAGCAGGTAGAAGACCTTACTCATTGTTATGTTACGAAAAGCAGGTAGAAGACCTTACTCATTGTTATGTTACAAAAAGCAGGTAAAAGACCTTACTCATTGTTATGTTACAAAAAGCAGGTAGAAGACCTTACTCATTGTTATGATACAAAAAGCAGGTAGAAGACCTTACTCATTGTTATGTTACATAAAGCAGGTAAAAGACCTTACTCATTGTTATGATACAAAAAGCAGGTAAAAGACCTTACTCATTGTTATGTTACAAAGATCCGGCCTATCCATCATGAGCACTTTAGCAAAGCAGCAAAAGTTACAGTGGTAAGAAAAAACTGCCTTATTAAAAGGCAGAAATCTTTGGCCGGATCCTCGGCTCATGATGAAACAGCCTTCACAGGTCTAGACTGTGCTGGGCTTGGAAAGGGATAGGGGGAGAGATGGGATAAGATGCAGGAAGAGGGATAGGGACCAGGGGGGTGTCGGTGACTTTTACCTCCTGTCGATGGTAGTGTAGCACTCTTTGAGCCAGCTGATTCCTGGTAGTTTGTCTTTCTGACCTCCCACACACAGATACACGATCACATAGTTTTCTGCAACCATCAGTTCCAGAGTCCCTACAACGTACCTGCAGACCAACAATACAAGCAGAACCTTTCCCAAACTGTACTACTCTTCAGACTCTTTGAAATGACTGACCCATAAACCACCCTTTCATCATTAATATCGCCTTCTTTTGGACTGTAAAGTTCACACATATTAAAAATACTCAAAGGTCACAGACTTTAAAAGGACAGGTAAAGAAAGGTGTGATGTACCTGAACAGGTGATCCATAACGTACTGGTAATTTTCCAGACTATTCTGCGGCAGGTAACAGGACGAAAAAACAATGATGTCATTCATACCGTCTCCATAGTAACCTGAAAGACGACAGAAAGGGCCAAACAGGTGATCACCATCAGGTAACTATGACTTCCTCACTAACACACCAGGTGACCCATCAGACAGGTGAGGCGTCATACCTCCGTGTGAAAGCACCCTGAGAAACGGCTCCAGGACACTCATGTTGACCCGGCTCTCCTGCGGTGGGTCACCTGTGGAGAAACAGCGCCACCTGGTGCCCAGACTGTCCACCATGTCCTCCCGCTCCAGAGCTCCCAGGTCGCTCTGGTCCATCCCCGCGCCAGTACCAGTCTGAGAATCAGACCTGGACCCGGAGCCAGAGGATATGTGACGCCGGGATGCCACGCCAAGACGCTGCAGGTCATCTGGAAAACAATCCTGTGATGTCATCAAAGGTCTCCTGTATTTATATTAACAGGTATAATATTTCTATGACATCCTCCATTTTTTAAACCTTTGACCTCTAACCTTCCAGATTGAGGTCGTAGGTGGGAAAGTGCAGTGATTCACTGTCAGAAGGCGTTTCCATGGCGTCAAGATCAAAGTCAAGCCCCTTGTCATCGTCTCCCTCAGGTGAAGGCGAGAGGAACAGCGAGGAGAAGTCGTCAGAGACTGTAGACTCACTGCGACCTAAAGAGATGAACGTCTGTTATGAACTGAACCAACAACAGAAGAAAACACCCAACGCTAACCCAAAACCCAGCTAACTCCTGCTGCTCATTAAACTATCAGGTCTAAATTTCACAGCAGATCTACGCTAACAAGAAATAACAACGACCAAACGATCAGGCGCTAAAATAAATGCTGCTCCATAAAAAAACATGTTGGAAGCAGGAAGCTATCGTTAGCTTAAATGTTGGAAGCAGGAAGCTATCGTTAGCTTAAATGTTGGAAGCTATCGAGTGTTAGCCTAAATGTTGGAAGCTATCGAGTGTTAGCCTAAATGTTGGAAGCTATCGAGTGTTAGCCTAAATGTTGGAAGCTATCGAGTGTTAGCCTAAATGTTGGAAGCTATCGAGTGTTAGCCTAAATGTTGTAAGCAGGAAGCTATCGAGTGTTAGCCTAAATGCTGTAAGCAGGAAGCTATCGAGTGTTAGCCTAAATGTTGTAAGCAGGAAGCTATCGAGTGTTAGCCTAAATGTTGTAAGCAGGAAGCTATCGAGTGTTAGCCTAAATGCTGTAAGCAGGAAGCTATCGAGTGTTAGCCTAAATGCTGTAAGCAGGAAGCTATCGAGTGTTAGCCTAAATGTTGGAAGCTATCGCGTGTTAGCCTAAATGCTGTAAGCAGGAAGCTATCGAGTGTTAGCCTAAATGTTGGAAGCTATCGAGTGTTAGCCTAAATGCTGTAAGCAGGAAGCTATCGAGTGTTAGCCTAAATGTTGGAAGCTATCGAGTGTTAGCCTAAATGTTGGAAGCTATCGAGTGTTAGCCTAAATGCTGTAAGCAGGAAGCTATCGAGTGTTAGCCTAAATGTTGGAAGCTATCGAGTGTTAGCCTAAATGCTGTAAGCAGGAAGCTATCGAGTGTTAGCCTAAATGCTGTAAGCAGGAAGCTATCGAGTGTTAGCCTAAATGTTGTAAGCAGGAAGCTATCGAGTGTTAGCCTAAATGTTGGAAGCTATCGCGTGTTAGCCTAAATGCTGTAAGCAGGAAGCTATCGAGTGTTAGCCTAAATGTTGGAAGCTATCGAGTGTTAGCCTAAATGCTGTAAGCAGGAAGCTATCGAGTGTTAGCCTAAATGCTGTAAGCTATCGAGTGTTAGCCTAAATGCTGTAAGCAGGAAGCTATCGAGTGTTAGCCTAAATGTTGGAAGCTATCGAGTGTTAGCCTAAATGCTGTAAGCAGGAAGCTATCGAGTGTTAGCCTAAATGCTGTAAGCTATCGAGTGTTAGCCTAAATGCTGTAAGCAGGAAGCTATCGAGTGTTAGCCTAAATGTTGGAAGCTATCGCGTGTTAGCCTAAATGCTGTAAGCAGGAAGCTATCGAGTGTTAGCCTAAATGCTGTAAGCTATCGAGTGTTAGCCTAAATGCTGTAAGCAGGAAGCTATCGAGTGTTAGCCTAAATGTTGGAAGCTATCGCGTGTTAGCCTAAATGCTGTAAGCAGGAAGCTATCGAGTGTTAGCCTAAATGCTGTAAGCAGGAAGCTATCGAGTGTTAGCCTAAATGTTGGAAGCTATCGAGTGTTAGCCTAAATGCTGTAAGCAGGAAGCTATCGAGTGTTAGCCTAAATGCTGTAAGCAGGAAGCTATCGAGTGTTAGCCTAAATGTTGTAAGCAGGAAGCTATCGAGTGTTAGCCTAAATGTTGGAAGCTATCGCGTGTTAGCCTAAATGCTGTAAGCAGGAAGCTATCGAGTGTTAGCCTAAATGTTGGAAGCTATCGAGTGTTAGCCTAAATGCTGTAAGCAGGAAGCTATCGAGTGTTAGCCTAAATGCTGTAAGCTATCGAGTGTTAGCCTAAATGCTGTAAGCAGGAAGCTATCGAGTGTTAGCCTAAATGTTGGAAGCTATCGAGTGTTAGCCTAAATGCTGTAAGCAGGAAGCTATCGAGTGTTAGCCTAAATGCTGTAAGCTATCGAGTGTTAGCCTAAATGCTGTAAGCAGGAAGCTATCGAGTGTTAGCCTAAATGTTGGAAGCTATCGCGTGTTAGCCTAAATGCTGTAAGCAGGAAGCTATCGAGTGTTAGCCTAAATGCTGTAAGCTATCGAGTGTTAGCCTAAATGTTGGAAGCTATCGAGTGTTAGCCTAAATGTTGGAAGCTATCGAGTGTTAGCCTAAATGTTGGAAGCTATCGAGTGTTAGCCTAAATGTTGGAAGCTATCGAGTGTTAGCCTAAATGTTGGAAGCTATCGCGTGTTAGCCTAAATGTTGGAAGCTATCGCGTGTTAGCCTAAATGCTGTAAGCAGGAAGCTATCGAGTGTTAGCCTAAATGTTGGAAGCTATCGAGTGTTAGCCTAAATGTTGGAAGCTATCGCGTGTTAGCCTAAATGTTGGAAGCTATCGCGTGTTAGCCTAAATGCTGTAAGCAGGAAGCTATCGAGTGTTAGCCTAAATGCTGTAAGCTATCGAGTGTTAGCCTAAATGTTGGAAGCTATCGAGTGTTAGCCTAAATGTTGGAAGCTATCGAGTGTTAGCCTAAATGTTGGAAGCTATCGAGTGTTAGCCTAAATGTTGGAAGCTATCGCGTGTTAGCCTAAATGTTGGAAGCTATCGCGTGTTAGCCTAAATGCTGTAAGCAGGAAGCTATCGAGTGTTAGCCTAAATGCTGTAAGCAGGAAGCTATCGAGTGTTAGCCTAAATGCTGTAAGCTATCGAGTGTTAGCCTAAATGTTGGAAGCTATCGAGTGTTAGCCTAAATGTTGGAAGCTATCGAGTGTTAGCCTAAATGTTGGAAGCTATCGAGTGTTAGCCTAAATGTTGGAAGCTATCGAGTGTTAGCCTAAATGTTGGAAGCTATCGAGTGTTAGCCTAAATGTTGGAAGCTATCGAGTGTTAGCCTAAATGTTGGAAGCTATCGAGTGTTAGCCTAAATGTTGGAAGCTATCGAGTGTTAGCCTAAATGCTGTAAGCAGGAAGCTATCGAGTGTTAGCCTAAATGTTGGAAGCTATCGAGTGTTAGCCTAAATGTTGGAAGCTATCGAGTGTTAGCCTAAATGTTGGAAGCTATCGAGTGTTAGCCTAAATGTTGGAAGCTATCGAGTGTTAGCCTAAATGTTGGAAGCTATCGAGTGTTAGCCTAAATGTTGGAAGCTATCGAGTGTTAGCCTAAATGTTGGAAGCTATCGAGTGTTAGCCTAAATGTTGGAAGCTATCGAGTGTTAGCCTAAATGTTGGAAGCTATCGCGTGTTAGCCTAAATGTTGGAAGCTATCGAGTGTTAGCCTAAATGTTGGAAGCTATCGAGTGTTAGCCTAAATGTTGGAAGCTATCGCGTGTTAGCCTAAATGTTGGGTTATGGTGATTTCTGGACCTTTGGGTTGTTTGTTTATTACCTAAAGACAGACTGAGAGCTGGAGCCACCAGAACTTTCTTCTTCTTTGGTCGAGACCCTGAAAAGGCCAGACTGGTTGGAGGAGCTGCAAACAGGAAGTGAGGTCATTGGGTCAGACACTTATCAGGTTTACGTGTTCTCTAAATTTAGTTTCTATTTAATATATTTTTTATTTATCTGTCAGTATTTTCATTTGTCCTCTTCTCGTCTTTAGTTCAACAGATTTATCTCTTAATTATCGGACTATGATCTTTTTATCATCGTAGGTTTGTTGTAGCTGGTCGGTCGTTGGTTGACGTCGATAAACGGCGCTCGTCTACAGACTCTGACAACAGGAAGAGATGACAACGAATGTATGGGATAATTATTGGTTTGATTTATTGAAAACAATAAAACTTAAAGCCGCTTACAGCGCTTTGTGAGGTGGCCGCTGGTTGCAGCAGCTCCCGTTGTCCGTGTCGTTATATCGTGTTTTTTGAGTATTAGTTTAATCTATTGTGTGGAAATGGCTACTTTGGAACTTTTTGCGCTGTTTTTCTGATACTTTGGACATTCTTTGTAACGGAGAGCAGCGCACAGCTGAGAGGGCATTGTTTACACACGCGATCAGCTGATGGCGCTCTCCACGGTGCTACTGCCCGGAGCAAGGCCTGTAATTCCGGGGGAGCTGAGGAGGCGACGCCGGGGTTGCAGAGCTGGAGCTAAGAGAAGAGCTAAGAAGAGAAAACATAAGCCTTCTGTACCAGCGGTAATTATGGGGAACATGAGGTCTTTGGGCAATAAGACGGACGAACTCGACGCGCTTGTTCAGCACCAGTGGGAATACCGCCAGTGCAGTAGTATGTGCTTCATGGAGACATGGCTGCACTCGGACATCCCGGACCACAGCGAGGCGGTACCCGGCTTCAGGACTTTTCGGACTGACAGGGACATTATAAAGAGCGGTAACAAGAAAGGTGGAGGGATTGCACTGTATATGATATATATATGACTGATACAACTCCGCTGTCACAAGGAAAGATACAGGAAATCTTTCTTACAGAAGGCCATAACTCTGTACAACAGCTCACCTCATGCGAGCAGAGAACTGTCATCATGATAATATCTGTCTCTCCATACTGTAATCTGTTCTGCACATGTTAAATTTACAAATTATCCCTGCACTCATGTTCACTTCATTTGTCTGTCTACCCCTCGTTATATTGTATAGTTTCTGCTTATAATATGTCTACACTCCTGCACTTTAACTTATGTCAATACTGTCCATTTACGACTTTGTTTTTGGACATTTACATTCAATCTTCCATATTTAATCTTCCTATTTAAGACTAGTAATGTTTAGTTAAATCCTGGTTGTATATATTCACATTCTTAGTTTTTATATTTTAAGTACTTATTTACTTTGTATTTAATATTATATTGTGTTTAGATTTGCTGACATTGTGTGTTTGGATAACCTGCTGCTGTAACGCCACAATTTCCCAGTTTGGGATCAATAAAATTATTCTATTCTATTCTATTCTATTCTATTCTATTAAATGTGTGAAATATAAACAGACGCAGAATATGAACATTAAGAAAACATTGAATCTCAATTTCAATTTCACGTGACATCACGTACTGTACCGTCACGTACTGTTACAAGACATACATGACGTAACGTAACGTTTTAAGTGACGTGACCAGATATGTAGACAACCAAAGTTTGAGGGTTGATTAAATGTAAAAGTCAACAAATCAAAGTGAAAAAATTAACACTACCTCTGTGATCATCAGACGAGCTGACAGGAGTCCTGCTGCTGGCTGAACAACTGACATCAGCTTTAGTAGTACCAGTATCTGCAGTGTTTAAAGTATCTGCACTGTTTGTAGTATCTGCAGTGTTTAAAGTATCTGCACTGTTTGTAGTATCTGCAGTGTTTAAAGTATCTGCACTGTTTGTAGTGTCTGCAGTGTTTAAAGTATCTGCACTGTTTGTAGTATCTGCAGTGTTTAAAGTATCTGCACTGTTTGTAGTATCTGCAGTGTTTAAAGTATCTGCACTGTTTGTAGTATCTGCAGTGTTTAAAGTATCTGCAGTGTTTGTAGTATCTGCAGTGTTTATAGTAGCTGCAGTGTTTGTAGTATCTGCAGTGTTTAAAGTATCTGCAGTGTTTGTAGTATCTGCAGTGTTTGTAGTATTTGCAGTGTTTGTAGTATCTGCAGTGTTTAAAGTATCTGCAGTGTTTGTAGTATCTGCAGTGTTTGTAGTATCTGCAGTGTTTATAGTAGCTGCAGTGTTTGTAGTATCTGCAGTGTTTGTAGTATCTGCAGTGTTTGTAGTATCTGCAGTGTTTGTAGTATCTGCAGTGTTTATAGTAGCTGCAGTGTTTAAAATATCTGCAGTGTTTGTAGCATCTGCAGTGTTTAAAGTATCTGCAGTGTTTGTAGTATCTGCAGTGTTTGTAGTATCTGCAGTGTTTGTAGTATTTGCAGTGTTTGTAGTATCTGCAGTGTTTGTAGTATCTGCACTGTTTATAGTATCTGCACTGTTTGTAATATTTGCAGTGTTTGTAGTATCTGCAGTGTTTGTAGTATCAGCAGTATTTGCTGTAGTTGTGGTGGAGACGTCCGTTCGGGGAGACCTGCACACAGTAACACATGAACACCCAGTGAATCAGGCTTCACTGTCTTGAGATGACATTTGTAATGAATTGGCACAAAAACATAAACTTAGAGATTGATTATCCCGACCTTTGACCTTTCTCTCTGACTCTGATGGACTGGAACCCAAACGTTAGAATTATAAAATGGGAGTGGATAAAGTCTGACCTGAGAGTGTCCTCTTCTTGTTCTTCTTCTCTTGACTCCATGATGTTTCCTGCTGACGAAATACCTCGTCAAAAGTATTTCTATTGTTCTCCTTAAAATCTGACTGCAGTAACTACTTAACAGTAACTAATGAGTGAACTTAAAAACATTACACTGATTATTCTTATTTATGCAGCACTTATTACATTTCAAGTTAGACCTTTTCAAATGCAGCAAGATAAAGTTCATAAAATGAAAAGAAAAGCTAAGATGAAGAAATAACGGATATCATAGCGAAATAATGTTGAAAGATCGTTAAGAGACACACAAGTCTTTAAAAATATGTTTTGAAAATGAAGAAGTACAAATCAGGACAGGCTTAAATTAAAGAATGATGGAAACACAACTTGACACAAACATGGGTCTCTGAGTGAAGTTATTCGTGTCTGATTCAGGCAGGTGGACAGACTGTTACAGTAATAACACGACCTGGTGGTCAAACACGACCTGAGTGGTCAAACACGACCTGAGTGGTCAAACACGACCTGGTGGTCAAACACGACCTGGTGGTCAAACACGACCCGATGGTCAAACACGACCTGGTGGTCAAAGCAGGATTATAAAAGCTTTGTAAGAATCATTGCAACAGGTTTGCTGTGATACAGCAGCCGCCCAGCAGGGGGCAGTATTTACTTTGTCGTGTGTGGATTGAATATGTGAAACATAAATATAACTGGATCCAAAACTGACCCCTGAGGCACACCATACTTCCCTGAAGAGGAGGCAGAGACTTAATCAAGGTCATCAAAACCAATATTCTGTTTCTTTTGTTTTCTTTTTGTTTTTGCAGCGTAAATGTAAAGAACGTTTGTTGCTGAACTGAAACAAACATGGGGATTTAGGGGTTTAGGAGATGTTGTTGAAATCATAACTTTGGTCTTTATCCGGTCGTAAAGAGGAAAAAGATAAAAACTCCTCACAGGAGCTTTCTGTTTACTTTCATATGAAGAGTTAAACATCGAGCAGACGATCAACGACGTGGAAAACAGAGCAGAAGTTCTTCAGGTGAGCAGAGTGTGAAGGGGACAGAAATAAGATTTAAAGACTCACAGCAGGTCGGATCTTCAGGGAGTCCACAGGAAACTGGCTCCGCAGCAGCAGCGGTGGCAGCCAGGTGAGACGGTTGTGACAGGTTAGACAGGTTCAGAACAAACACCTGGAGACTCACCTGATGACATCACAGTGACTTTTTATGTGTTTACAAGCGGACTCTAACACCTCACCTGTCTCTCTCTCTCTTACACACTCAGCCTACAGGGCAGCAGAGGTGTGGCATGTTGCCGTGGCGAGGGCCTGACCCTGTTACCATGGCGTCTATGACTGTACAAGCAGGGGTGGGAACTGCAGCGTGCATGCCCCTACCTGCAGAGTGTGTACACCTGTGAGTGTGCAGGGCTGGTTGCACAACATGACTTCTCATTTCCATTCAGACGAGCTCAGAGTTTAGTTTCTGGATGTAAGAAAAGTTTTTATTACATTTATTCTGTCTCAGTTTGACCCCACAAGTTTGTTTCTCGCCACACAAAGGTCGACCATGACGGTCATCACTTCCTGTTGGAGAGTAGGCCTGCAGGACAGACGGGTTGAATGGCTTTAGAGGATCTGTGGGTTCATGATGTGTCAGTGAGTCAGACGGGAACATGTTGTTGTTTAGTCTCAGGTTTAACCACAGATCTTATCAATCATCAACATCGTCTCCCATTGGTTCCAGAGGAGGCGTTCTGAAGCCCATCGATGGCGTTCTCCACATTGGGAAAAACTAACTTACTCCCAGTAACCGAGAGCCGGGTAAAGATGAATATCTGGGTTATCTTTGTGTCTTTTCTCTATGAATGAATGAATCGGATGACGGCAGAATGTCTGAATTCTCTTATTTGTGTTTTTATTGTTGATTAAAGAAGAGACAAACATGAGGACGGATCTGATCTTCAGTTAGAGAGAGAACCAGACGGACATCAAAGTAATGATAGTGTAGTGTCTGTTTACAGCCAGCAGAGGGCGCCAGACAGGAGCAGATTAACAGTTTATTTCTTTCTAAATAAATTCTGTTCCAGTGTGAAGTTTGGATTATTATCTTAGACTCATGTTTAGCATGAGATTCTTAGAAAACTTGATGCCTATGTCTGAATGTTTTAATATCTAATCTTATTCTGAAATAATGTGGTAAACCTGTCGTCCATACATTGTGACCCCTGACCCCTGTAGATACATGATAATACTGTAAATAAATATAAACCTCTTTATTTACATTTCAAAATCTTTCATGAACAGTGAGGGCTTAATGAGACTTTTATTACACAACTTATTCCAAAACTTTTTCTTTATTTGTCAGTTTACTTTTCTACACATTCCTGTGTAGAAAACGGTGTGTGATGTAACGTCTGAGAGAAAGAAGGCGGAGTTTAAGTAGCGGCATGTAGAAATGTAGAAACTCAAAGAGACAACCAGCTAACGTGACAGCCAGCTAACGTGACAGCCAGCTAACGTGACAGCCCGCTAACGTGACAGCCAGCTAACGTGACAGCAGCTAACGTGACAGCCCGCTAACGTGACAGCCAGCTAACGTGACAGCCAGCTAACGTGACAGCCCGCTAACGTGACAGCCAGCTAACGTGACAGCCAGCTAACGTGACAGCCCGCTAACGTGACAGCCCGCTAACGTGACAGCCAGCTAACGTGACAGCCGCTAACGTGACAGCCAGCTAACGTGACAGCCCGCTAACGTGACAGCCAGCTAACGTGACAGCCCGCTAACGTGACGTGATAGCCTGCTAACGTGATAGCCTGCTAACATGACAGCCTGCTAACATGACGTGATAGCCTGCTAACGTGACAGCCTGCTAACATGACGTGATAGCCAGCTAACGTGACAGCCAGCTAACGTGACAGCCAGCTAACGTGACAGGCAGCTAACGTGACAGGCAGCTAACGTGACAGGCCGCTAACGTGACAGCCAGCTAACGTGACAGCCCGCTAACGTGACAGGCCGCTAACGTGACAGGCCGCTAACGTGACAGCCAGCTAAAGTGACAGCCAGCTAACGTGACAGCCAGCTAACGTGACAGCCCGCTAACGTGACAGCCTGCTAACGTTATAGCCTGCTAACATGACAGCCTGCTAACGTGACAGCCTGCTAACGTGACAGCCTGCTAACGTTATAGCCTGCTAACATTATAGCCTGCTAACATGACAGCCTGCTAACATGACAGCCTGCTAACATGACAGCCTGCTAACGTGACAGCCTGCTAACGTGACAGCCTGCTAACGTGATAGCCTGCTAACGTGACAGCCTGCTAACATGACGTGATAGCCTGCTAACGTGATAGCCTGCTAACATGACAGCCTGCTAACATGACGTGATAGCCTGCTAACGTGATAGCCTGCTAACATGACAGCCTGCTAACATGACGTGATAGCCTGCTAACGTGACAGCCAGCTAACATGACAGCCCGCTAACGTGATAGCCTGCTAACGTGACAGCCAGCTAACGTGACAGCCAGCTAACGTGACAGCCCGCTAACGTGACAGCCCGCTAACGTGACAGCCAGCTAACGTGACAGGCCGCTAACGTGACAGCCAGCTAACGTGACAGCCAGCTAACGTGACAGCCAGCTAACGTGACAGCCGCTAACGTGACAGCCCGCTAACGTGACAGGCAGCTAACGTGACAGGCCGCTAACGTGACAGCCAGCTAACGTGACAGCCAGCTAACGTGACAGGCCGCTAACGTGACAGGCCGCTAACGTGACAGGCAGCTAACGTGACAGCCAGCTAACGTGACAGCCCGCTAACGTGACAGCCCGCTAACATTATAGCCTGCTAACATGACAGCCTGCTAACATGACAGCCTGCTAACGTGACAGCCTGCTAACGTGACAGCCTGCTAACGTTATAGCCTGCTAACGTGACAGCCTGCTAACGTGACAGCCTGCTAACGTGACAGCCTGCTAACGTTATAGCCTGCTAATGTGTAGGCCTGCTAACGAGACGGCCTGCTAACGAGACAGCCTGCTAACGAGACAGCCTGCTAACGTGACAGCCTGCTAACATGATGGCAAGGTCAGCGGTTCTCTCTGTCCTGGGACGTGTGGGCGTGTCTGATGTGTGATGAAGTGCTGATTAATGCTGCCGTCCAATCAGAGCGCTTGGTCACTTGCTGTGTGTGTGTTGAAGTGAGCGTTGAGCGCTGCCCTCCACCTGAAGCGTAGTGAGCACTGGGAGCACTGGTACGGTGTCTCTCCGGTGTGGATCCTCATGTGCTCCCTCATCTTGTCCTTCCTGCTGAAGTGTTTACTGCAATCAGGGCAGCTGTGCAGCTGCTCGCCGCCATGCGTCTGCATGTGTCTCTGCAGGTGGTTGGCCGACACCAGACGCAGGCCGCAGAGCGAGCAGGCGTGGCGTTTACTGTCTCCCGTGTGCGTGCGCAGGTGCAGTCCTAGTCGCCCTCGCTCTCTGTAGCTGCGTCCGCAGAGCCTGCAGCTGAACGGACGCTCGCCGCTGTGCACTCGCATGTGGCTGCTCAGGTGCTCCTTCCTCTTGTAGCACTTCCCGCATTCTACGCACTGATGACGACGCTCATCCGTGTGGGTCAACAGGTGGCGCTGTAGGTGGCTCTTAGCAAGGAAGCTCAGACTGCAGTGCTGACAGCTGAAGGGCCTTTCGCCCGTGTGTGTCCTGGCGTGCTCCACCAGAGCCCGCCTGTGCACGAAACACTTCCCGCACTCATGGCAGCAGAACGGGCGCTCGCCGCCATGTGTCTTCAGGTGAGCCAACAGGACGGATTTACTCTGAAAACGTTTGTGACAGTGTGAGCATTCAAACGGCCGCTCGCCCGTGTGCGTCCTCTGATGGACCTGCAGACGACACGGCCGGTCGAAGCTCTTCAGACACTCGCCACACTGATGTTCTTTCTTCTCTTTAACCACGTCAGCCGTCAGCTCGCCACACCGATGTTCTTTCTTCTCTTTAACCACGTCAGCCGTCAGCTCGCCACACCGATGTTCTTTCTTCTCTTTAACCACGTCAGCCGTCAGCTCGCCACACCGATGTTCTTTCTTCTCTTTAACCACGTCAGCCGTCAGCTCGCCACTCGCTCCTTGTTTTCTGCTGCTCAGGGAAGACGACTTCTTCACCGAGCCGTCGGCCAGAGAACTGGAGGAGGGATCCTGTCTGCTTCCTTCATCACCACCATCCTCCACTTTTACATCCAGCGCCAAGGATCCGCCCTCATTGCATTCTGGGTAATCTGCGGCCTCTACCTCTGGATGGAAACAAACAAAAGTTAAATCCAGAGTAACTTCTACCTCACATGGTTAAAACCTTCAGTTGATTTGTTATTCGTCTTTTGAAGTGGAATTTTCTGTAAAGTTGAAATCAGAGACAGGAAACAGGAAACAGGAAACAGAAGAGGCAGAAAAGGCAGAAAAGGCAGAAAAGGCAGAAAAGGCTGTCTTCAGGACAGCAGCTCGCCGATTATTAATCCTAGAACTGTTAAAGTCGAAACACATGTCATGTGTCTGCGTCTGCTTTGAACCTGAACAACATTTAATCAGAAAGGCTGAGATTATTATATTATTTATATATATTATTTAAAAACAAATATATATATATATATATATATATTTCATTATATATAGTATTAAATTATTTATTATATATATATTACTTATTATATGTATTATTATTTTATTTATTATATATATATTATTTATTATATATATATTATTATATTATTTATGGATAATTATATTTACTATATATTATTATACTATTTATTATATATATATTATTATATTACATATTACATATGTATATATTATTTATTATATATATATTATTATATTCTTTATCATATATATTATTATATTATATATATAGTATTATATTATTTAAAATATATATATATATATTATTCATTATATATAGTATTAAATTATTTATTATATTATTATATTATTTATTATATATATATTATTATATTATTTAATATATATATTATTCATTATATATAGTATTAAATTATTTATTATATTATATATATATTATTTATTATGTGTATTATTATATTATTTATTATATATATATATTATTTATTATATATATATATTATTATATTCTTTATCATATATATTATTATATATATAGTATTATATTATTTATTATATATATATTATTAAATTATTTATTATATATATCATTATATTATTTATTATATATATATTATTATATTATTATAAAGTGTGTTAATGTTCAATATCAAAGTTAGTTTTAATAGTTTAATGACTTTAACTTCTTTAATTTGAAGTATTTTTATATTGGACCAGCAGCATAAACATACCTGAGAGTCTCTCCTCCTCCTCCTCCTCCTCCTCTCCTTCTGCTCTTCCTCTCTCTCCTCCTCCTCTCTGTCTTTCGGTTGATCTTCTCTGGTTGCCATCTTGTTTTCGCTTCATGTTTTGATGATTGTCCTGTTTTACGGTTAGAGACGGAAACACCGAGAGAAACACGGTCTGACCGTCTGATAACAGCTGGCTGCTAACATGCTAATGTTCTAGTGAACACGCCGCGGATGACTACGTCACTTCCGGTTCAGATTTTCAAAATAAACATGGAGTGTGTAACTGTAAGCAGTGGTGGAATCACTTTGGTTCAATCAAATGCTGACCTCTGGTGGAGGTTCAGAGCACTGAGCTGCAGGAAGTCTGATCCCTGCACTACTGAACAGTCGCTCTTTCTTGCGGGTTCAGGACAAATGTGGGTCAAATGGATGAATGTCTTTCCTGA